TTTGCCCTTTTTCAATTGTAAACTGTACATCCCGGTGAATCAAAGACGGTGGCAGCAGGAGAATTCAGAAAGATGATGCATCCAAGTGAGCAAGGGAAAGGGAGGGGTGGGGACAAAAAAACCCAATGAAATGTTCCTTGACCCCAAGGTCTCAGCAGAAGTTAAGGTCCTTCCCGCATTAGCGTCCGCGATGTGTGTTCACGCACACCAAGATATCCAGAGTGTCACAGCCTGTCTTCACTGTGCAAAAGTCCAAGTCACTAATTTAGTGCAAAGGCAGTTCTGTTTTCTTGTTTCTTAAAAACAAAAAAAATTCATTCCACTGCCCTGTTCCTTTTCTCCAAAAAGAGAGAAACCCAGCCCCAGGCGTCTGCGAGTCCGTCGGTTGGTGGTCTGTCCTTGGGCTAAAGCGTCATGTAAACATACAAGGTAGCAGCACCACTGCCCAGAGAAGTCTGTCCGACTGAGGCGGGCAGGCAGGAGAGCAAGAGGCTGGCCGTCTGGCAGTGGAGTCTGTCCCCTTCAGCAGCTTCTTCCTCCACGTGGCTGGGTTGTCCTGTGTTTATTTTTGCTGCAGAGCCTCGGGAAAGTACACTGAGGTGGGGAGCATTCAGTGGCTCACACAGAGGCAATGACAATCATGAGGTGGGGAGAAATGTTGGAGATGCTGGCAAGGAGATCTGGGGCCAGACGGGACAGGTGACTCTCAGAAAACTCGCAGGGTGGAAAGATCTGCAGCACATAGGCAGGCTGGAGACAGGGACGAGAGAGCAAAGTGGGACCCTCTGTCTTCACAGCACCCGCCCCACATTCTATTTCCAACAAGTCCCCGCGGAAGCCCAATGCGGAAAGCCAGGCCAATTCGCCCCGACCAGCACGAGTATCTCCACAACTATGTCCACCAGAAGACATTTATAGCAGGTGTCAGAAAACTATGAACATGAACCCCCTGGGGCCCTCTTCATCACTGAGCTCAAGGAAAACCTCTGCTCTCAGCGGTTGCCTTGCTTCTCTCCAGAATGCACAGTGGCGGCCCCTCCCATGTGCTACGCTGGCTTCCTCTGTCCAAAATACCCTTTTGCCCATCTCCTCTGAGAAACTCCTAGACTATTCTAGTTGGCACCAGATTAGTCAGCCTGCCTGCCCGTGAGCAGCCCCACCTGTGCATGCATGTGCGAAGGAAGGATCTGGGAAGGACACGGGACAACCAACCTGATTGGAGCCAGGGTTGGGGACGTTGATGATCCCCGCTGCCTGCTTGGCCTGCAGGTAAGTGATGAAGGCAGCTTTGAGGGACTCAGTCTGGCTCACAACGTCCTCTTGGTCACGGCCACAGGGCAGAGCCAGCAGCAGACAGTAATCTGTCTCCACCTGGGGCAGAAGCAGCCATCAGTGATCAGGGCCCTCCTAGCCAAACAGCAGCCCATGTCCAGCCTAGGGTATCAAGTCCACAGACACTCCCACCTCTGAGATGACTTTAAAGTCTACTCTTTGTTGAACAAAAAAAGCCTTGTTTCTGGGTCTAGAGGCATTGTACACTTGCAAATAGAAACACAATGTGCCCACGTCGAGAATATCACTTCTGTGTTTGTTCCATGACAGGCCAGGGAGACGGGATGGCGGGGGCCACCGAGGCCTTCCCTCCCTGTTGCCCACCTCGGCCTGAGTCTTACCGTCATCCTTCGGGCAACTCCTTCCAGCTGCGAGGCCTCCAGCCGCATCCTCTGGGCGATCCTCAGCGGGGGTCCTCCTTCAGAGAGGGGCAGGGACCGATGGGCCAGAACATTGTTGCCGGAGACGAAGTGGAGCTGCACAGCAGCTGTGTCATTCTTGAGGGCCAGGAGGCCCTGCCATACGATGGGGTACTTCTGCTCCCAGGGAAACAAACAGGAAGTGAGCACGTGGCTGGAGAGCTGAGCCATGTTGCATGTGGCCCCAGGCAGCAGCTTGCTGGTCTAGGTCAACTGGGGAAGCCTTAGGACATTTTTAACACACCATAAAATTGGGGGACAGGTGGGGCACCCCCTGCCTATGCTTACCTTCAGAAGCTGAACCATATCCACAGGTCTCTGGGAAGTCAAGTGTGGAGACGCATCTTGTTTGGGGGTTGGCTGGGCTTCAGTGTGCGGCAGAGCCAGTCCTGGTGGGGTGCTGGGGCCCGAGGTTGTGGGGACAAACAATGGCTGCTTTGGGACAGCCTGAGCAGGAAGAGGGGCTGGGAGGTCAGGCTTCATGGACACAGACACGGGGGAGGGGTAGGAAGTCTGGCCTGTTTCCACTTGCGCCCTCTGAACCTGGGCATGAGGCTCAGGCGGCCTGTTCGCAGGGCCAGCTGGGAGGCGAGGCTGCTCTGTGCCTCCTGTCTGGGTCCCCTTTGCCTCTTGGGAGACCTGAGGCATCTTGCTGCTCGGTGGCTGGCCAGGCTGGCTGAGCTGGGAGGGTGGGCAGGATGGCGCAGATGGGGCAGGCTGTGTAGACTGCACAGGCGGGGCAGGCTGTGTGGACTGCGAGGGCTGAGCAGGCTGCAAGGGCTCACCTTCAGGAGGAGGGCCCTGGGGTTGGGAGGAAGGCAAAAAGGGATATGGTCAGTCTGTTGTGCAGGAGCCCCTACCCCCAACAAATGACCCAAAGGCCACAGGAAAAGGGTCAGATGTGGGGCATCTCTAAGACAAGCCCACAGAGGGAGCCTGATCAACGATGCTGCTCTCAGGAGTTCAGGTAGGAAGTCACCTATTACCTCCCTCCCCACCCCTGCAGCAGGAGCCACCACGCCCACCATTCCCACGGAGAGCTCCTCTCCATATCCGGAGGTCTGTGATGTGATCTGATCCTTTCACCCCAAAGGCTCCTCTTTAAACCCACAAAAAGGTAAACATATTTTAGGGGCTATCTGACCCAATCATTGCACGTCAACCACTACTTTCTTTGACTGAGGCTGGGCTTTGCTTAAAAGCCCGCCAAGGCCCCAGCGTACGTCCGACGGACAGGGGAAGATGCCCAGCTCTCTCACCTGCGCAGGAGTCTTGGTCCGGGCAGGCAGGCCAATGGAGGAAGCAGCAGGAAACTGAGTGTGCGTTAGCTGAGCTGGGGCATGGTAGGTGCGGATGTCGCCGTACCTGTATTCTTGGAACAGCTCCCCACTGGAGTGCACGATCTGCACCCCATGGGTCACCACCACAGGGGGGGTCAGAGGCAGCCCCTGGAGTTGGTTGCTGGGGGTGACTGTGAGGATGCGGGCCTCACCGTGAGGGGCGGGGGCTGCTTTGGCATCTGATGTCTTGGTGGCTTCTTTCCCTGGCTGTGGAGGGGCCTTGCTGGCCGGTGGCACCTTCACCACCCCATCTGCTGTCCGGGGCTGCTCGCTGACAGCGGTCACGTGCGGATGCACCATGATCCGCACGTCCCGGGGCACGGTGTACGGGTGCAGCCGGTACTCAGACTGCATGACCAGCACCTCTGACTGCACAGGGGCCGCCGCTCGGGCAACGGGGAGGTGGTAATGCACTTCCTCCTCGGGAGGGTGCTGGGAGGCCAGCGCAGGCACACCAGCTGTGGCTGGCTGGGGGGTGCCGGCCCGCTGTGGCGCCCTGACCTCTATTTGCTGGGGCTGCAAGGGGGCCCGAGGAGAGTGAAGCGTCTCTGGCCGGATGCTGTAGGTGATACTGGGCAGCGTGGGTGTGCTCATTCTCACCTCGCCCTGGGACAAGTGGCTCAGAGACACAGTCTGGGTGATGCTATGGGGCGGCATGATGACAGACTGCTCTGGGTGTATGCTAGAAATGAACTGAGGCACTGGGATGCCTGCAGCAAGCATGACTGTGGCGTTGGTTGACAGCGCCGTGGACGCGGTGCTGCTGGGGTGGCTCGCCCTCGGGAATGGGGCCGGTGTGGGTCCGCTGGGTCGAGGAGCATGTGCGTCTGGCTTTGTGGCTGCCAAGTGGGAGACGGTTCGCTCTGTCGGGGTGCTGGGCCCTGAGGTGACGTGGTTCATTTCTGCAGGCAGTTTGCTGGGCAGAGCAGGAGGGTGGTGGGGTGTGAGAGTGGACCCCAGGTTTGCCGGCTGGAGGACCTTGGTCTCGATTTTGAGGGTGACGGGGTCAGCAAGCTTTTTATTCGTGGTCACTATGCTTGGGGTGAGGACCAGCTGGTTGTGAACCAGCACCGGGGGAGTGTTTATGCCCTGGGTGAGAACCTTCACTGTGCCACCCTGAGTGACAGGTGTGGACACTGAGAGGTGAATGGGCTCGGGCTTCTCCAAGGATGGGCGGTCGGCCTTCACAGACGAAATCACGGGAGACGCGTTATACGTCTGGGCAGTCAGTACCAGCGTGGAATGGGTGGCCACGTTTGCATAGCCTGCAGGGGCCTGAGGGCCTTTGGGTGGAGGCTGGGACGCTGTGACAGAATCGGGCTTGAGCTGGGACTTGGACACTGACTGCTGAAATTCAATGTCCATCGCACTGGCCGGGGGGATCTGGCTGATCTTTGCACTGATCCTCTGCGGGCCTTCGGTCTTCTGCCCCGAATAGCTCAGGAGCACGACCCCTTCTGAAGTGTTCACACGCAGCCCCGCACCAGAGCCTGTGTCTGCTGGACGATCGTCAATCACAGACATAGACCCTGGATGGAACCGACTGTTTTCGTTAGTGCTCGATCTCTGTTTGCACTTTGCCGACGGCGCAATCACTGCGCCTCCCATAGTCACTGCACCTGTCGTGGCAGTCACACCACCAGATGTGGCAGTAACTGCACCTGCTGTGACTGTCACTGCACTTGCGGTGGCATTCACTGCACCTGCTGCAGCATTGACTGTGCCCGTGGCAGCATTCACCACCCCCGTGGCTGCGTTCACTGTGCCCACCGTGGCGTTCACTGGGGTAGTGAGAACGTTCACTGGCCCCGTGAGAACGTTCACCGGCCCCTTCAGGACGTTCACGGGCCCAGCAGGGGTGCTCACCAAACCCTTCAGTGTGGCCACCGAGCCCTTCACGGGGCCTTTCAGGGCATTGACTGGGACCAGGGAGACGTTCACCAGGCCCGTCAGGGCGCTCACCAGGCCGGTCAGGGTCTGAGGAGCTGGTTTTGCCAGGGTTATCTTCTGTGAGTTCTCCAAATCAATGCTGACAGGCATTCGACTAATAACAGAAGTAATTTTGGGAGCAATGACTGGAGCCACCTTTTCTTTGTCAGTAGCTGCTGGAAGCTCTGAGGCTTGGGTGTTGGAGGCGTTTGTAACTGGAGCTGTTTTTTCTTCTAAAAGGGGCCTTTTAGATTCAACTGGAGGGGGTGGTGCCTCATGCAGGCAAGGGGCAGCGCTGACGGGCTCTGCAATGGCCGTGGTGACACTCGTGGAAGTGACACCTGGTGCAGACACGTACTTGGGATCCATGAGAATCTTCCTCAGCGTGCTGGAGCTGGTGTCTACATCAGAGGCCTTTGTGTCTGGGGGAAGAGCTGGAGATGGGGTGGACTGAGCCCGTGGCTCCTCCTGCCTTGTGATCCACTCTGTCACCTTAGTAGGGGGGCTCTGGTGTGGCATGCCCCCAGAGGTGACAGGGGGTGGGAGCTTTGCTGCAGTTACAGAAGGAAGCACGGGTGTGGGCATGCTGGGGTCGCTGGGCGGTGTCACCGGATCACTCTCAATGACTGAGTGCACCTTGAACCTGGCTTGAGGATCACCATCCACCGGTGCCGGCTGCGAGGCAGGGGGCGGGTCTGGGAGCACAGACACTTTGGTTGGAGTCTTTTCTTCAACACTGCTTTCCTGGGACACATTCTCTGCACATGGAGTCTTGCCTGGGTCAGGAACACACGGCTGAGGAGAAGTGGAGGGAGGTTTTTCGCTCTGCTTTTCTTCCTGTGGAGGTTCTGGGGGTTGCGCCGCTGTCCCCTCACTTGCAGCAGGACTCTTGCTTTGAGCCTGGTCAGATTCTGAGACGTGGGTCTCCACAGGAGCCCCCACTTTCTTGTTCGTATTGCGTTTGCGGCGTGACCGGGTCGTCTTCTGGCGCCCTTTGTCTTTCCGGACAAGAGCAACTTCTGCTTCTTTGGACCCTTTGGCCTCCTGCACTGAGTGAGGGGTTTCACTGCTATTCCCTTTGGCTTCCTTGGTATCCGCTGGGCCTGATGAGGGGGCAGGGGCACTGACTGACGGCCCAGAAGATTCTGTAGCAGCCTCGGTGTCCAATAGGCCAGACACGGCCTCGTTGGTCTCGGGCTCCACTCCCTCCTCGGCAGGCCGCAGCGCTTGTGCGTGGGGCTGCGCATCTGTGTGAGATTCCGTCGGGTAAGGTGTAGGGGCCGGAAAGTTTTCTGGCTCCCCCCCAGAAATGTCATTGATGATGGAGCCAATGGCTGCAGCCAGCTCTGTTTCGCTCGCTTGGTGTGCAGGCTTGTCCCTGTCCTCTGAGGCGAGGCCCTCTGGAGCGTCCGTGGCGGCTGCCTTGTAGGCTGCGTTGGCGGAGGTTTCCGTGAGCTTTGCGATGTTCTCCACAGCCTGCTCCAGCTCCATCTGCTTGGCTAACTGAGTGGCTTCCGGGGACAGCTGAGAGGCAGACACATCTTCCTTCTCTGCTTCCTTGTCTGGATCAACTGGATCACTTTTCAACTGGGATGATGAACCACCTTCCTTTTGGGGACTCTCACTTTTCTCGGGGGAGACTGCCACCACCACGGCTTCCTTCTCCCCTGCCTGTCCCGCCGCCCCGGCAGCCCCCCTGGGGCTGACAGCAGCACCCACATTTTCCAGACTTGCAGATTTGTCCACTGCTGATCTCGAGTTTCGAGATCTTCCTCTTTTTGATTTGGAGGGCTTCTCGGGGGCTGGCTTCTTCTCCACCACTTCAGTGGGGGCGGTTGCAGGGGGATGCTTGTCTGTGCCGGCTTCTTTGCTGTCACGTTTCTGCTGGCTTCCTGCCTCCTCCTCCCCAGCCTTAGCTGCCGTGTGACTCTCTCTCCCACCTATTTGGGGGCCCACCTCAGTGGTAGCATCAGGACGTGTAGCATCAACCTTCGGTTCATTTTTCCCCTTTTTCCCCTGGGGACCACCAGTGGCTGTGTTCTTTTGAGATCGGGGAGATCGCCACCCCTCCGCTGGCTTGACTGTTTCTGTGGGCTCTTTGGCCTCGTTCTCATCCTCTTCATCAGCTCGACGGCGTGTTTTTGGAGGCCTTCCCCTCCGAGGGGTGGTGGGAGCTGCCGCAGCCTCCTGAAGCTCTCGCTCCAACCTCTTTCTGGTCACTCTTAGCTGCTCGACAGGCTCTTTGACTGGAGAGCGTCTCTCGTGGTCAGCTGTGGTCGCATAAACACTCCTTACATTCCGTCGCCTTGTTCGGCTGAGAGGCAAACTCGGTTCCGGGTGTTCAGGGTCCACAGCAGAGTTTTTAGAGGCAGTCCTTGTAATCTTTTCCGCCTCCATCTTCAATTCTAAAAGCTTCTGTGCTTCTCCCCGAGGAGAATTGGACCGCTTTAGTTTCTCCCGGTCTATTCTCTCGCTCTTCCTCGTCACGGGCTTCTCCACGACACTAGCTGCAGCTGCCTGAACTGGGGTCTTGGAACGCTTACTTTTGTTGGGCTTCTTATCTTTTGTAGTAACTGGAGGATCAACTTCTAACTCTTCTGAAGCTTGAGGCTGAACCTCAGGGGCAACGTCAGCTTTCTGATGTGCAGCAGGCTCTGTGTCAGCAGCTGAGTCCAGCTTTTCGACTTGTGGCTCATTGGCTTCCTCAGACTTCTGAGTTGGTTTAGAAAGTGGTTGGGTACTGTCAGGTTCTGGGTCTACACTGCTCTCTGCCTGGGAAAACGAGGCCCCAGGAGTTGGAGGCTTGGCATCTAGATAAGGCAGCTGGTCACTCGATGAACCTTCTTCAACAGAAGGGGCCGCCGTGGCAGCATCTTTACCGGTGTCCACTCCTGGGGCCAGGTCTACTTGCTCGGGCTGTTCCACGGGGGCAGCAGCCAGTTCAGTCGCCGGCTTTGCTTCTTCTGAGACAGCGGCTGGCTCCACGGTCCTCTCTTCTGTTACCGGAGGCACCTCCACTATTTTGTCACTGGTCGTCTTCTCCAGTGCTGATAACGTTGAGTCTGGAGTTACAGCTGTGACACTAGGAGGCCCAACTGAAGGTGGCGTTTTCAGTTCTGACTCTTTATTCTCAGAAGCAGATTCCGGGGTCTTAGGATGATTCTCTGTATCTTCCTGTTTCTCAACCTCTTTGGGTTTTTGGTCTTTTTCCTTTTCTTTCTGTTGCATTCGTGTGAGCTCCATAAATCTGCTATGGAATAGAACTACTGGCTCTTGAATTAACTCGGCTGTGCTGTTTGCTCCATCAGACGTCTGCCTACCATACAATCTACCAGAAATGAAGTCGGAGTCTTCATCCTTTCTCTCTAGATGCTGCAGTCGCTTGGAGTCCTGTTCAAAGATTGAGCTGTGCAAGAAACGAGAAGCAAATAGTTCTTGCCTCTCCTGCTCTTCTTCCTTGTGATCATCTTTTTTATCATCCATTTTCCCTTCGGAATCAGTCCTGATTTTCTTCTTTTTCATGTACCAGGAAGGAATAGGTCTCGGAGCAGAGTCGACCTTTTCTTTATCTTTGTTGTTCCGAAAATTAGCAAATCGAGAGTCCCAGTCAAGAAAAGACCAATTTTCTTCTCGAGATGAAGAGAGGGATTTTGCTCTTTCAAGCAAAGCTTTAGTGTCTGGTGTGATTGTCTTATCCAATGCAAAAGAATAAAATTTGTTCCTCTCTAAAGAACTAGAGAGTCTTTCATCTCGCTCACGTAGTTTGTCTTCTCTGTCCCTCAATAAAAAAGATAATCGGGAACTTTCAAATAATGCTGAGGCTCTTGGAGAGTGCGATTTGTGTTCACCATCTTCATCGGAATCAGAAGGCACCTCCCCAGGTTCCAGATCTCGTACAGACCTTTTCCGAAGGCTGTCTCTCTTAATTATGCTGTTTGGGAAACTCACGTCAAATCTGCTGGCATCTTGTTTCATTTGAGAGTCCCAACGATTTAGTTCATCTTCAGAATTCAAGACAGACAGCTTTATTTTGGCAATGTCTGCCATCTGTTCTCTCCTACTAGAATCATAAGGATTAAATTTTAAAGACTCTTCCCTGACTGTTATGTTAGAATAGGGGAGACCTTTTTCATCTACTTTAGGAGACCCTTTCACTGACATTAGCCTAGGGGAGCCTATGGGATCATCATCTTCAGGAAAGGAACCGTGTCGGATACTGGGGGAACAACCAGTCCTTTCAGAATCTTCGCTGATTTGGCGTGAACTTCTGTAATTCCTCTCTCTCTTGGTGCAGATATCAAAATCAACATGATCCATCCTTTTCTTTTTGCTGGGAGGTGAGTCATCGGTGACATCTTGAGGGGGTTTGCCTACCTCATGAACAAGGCTACGTCTTTCATATTCATCTATATCTTTTTTAGGACTGCCAAACTTCTCAGACTTGGCTATTTCCATCTCCATCTGCTGTTTTCTACGACTCTGCTCCATTTGTTTTCGGTAACTCTGTGTGTGATCAATGTCGATGCCAATTTTTTCTTCAGTATTTACTGAATGTGATTTCTCTTGGCCTGATTTATGTTCAGGTGTTTCATCACGAAGACTGCAATAGTTTTTCCTAACATCCTCTCTTTCTGATCCTTGATCATCTAATAGCTGTAACTGTTTGAGCTGCGGTTTTGAGTGAGTGGGTTTTTTTGATTGGATTTCTTGATTTTCCACAGATTCACCTACTGGCTCTCCCAGTCTTGCTTGTAGGTCTGAGCTGGGCCTTGAGCCAGAACCAACAGGAAGACTGGTAAGCTCCTGACAGTCTTTGGGGCTGGGAACAGCATTTAGTCTGTCCAGTTTGATTTTTCTGGATTCTCTTTTAAGAATTTCTTTCCTCACAGGCTTTCTTTCAGCCTCTCCTTCCTTCAGCAGGATGACATCTCTAGACGATACGTCAGGCTGCTTTTTCAAAAGAACTCGAGCATCCTCCATCTCTGGACTGCTTTTCTTGACTTCTGGTTTTTGCCTGTCTGCTTTCAAATTGGAATCTGCAAAACGCCTTTTCCTTGCTTCCAGCTTCTCCAGATCCACAGCACTCACTCCGTCGGCAGGCTGCTCTGGTTTCAGGTGCTTCCTGGTTTTAAGCCTGCTGTCCTTGTCTACTACTTCAATGTGGCTCGAAAGCACCTTTTCCTTTGGCACTTTCATTCTAACAGATTCCAGTTTAGACGAGTCAGACTTTGCAGGCTCAGTATGAGAGACCTGAAGTTTCTGCTCCAGGGCAGAAGACTTGATGGTGTCGCTGTCAAACTTGGCTTTCAGCTTTTCCACAGGAGCGTGGTCGACGACCTTTCCTTCTTTTTCTTTCACTCGGGTCAAAACCACACAAGGCATCAGTTCCAGGCGGTTTTTTGCTATTCCTTCTTTGTCAGCTTTCTCTCTGCTCAGTTTATTAGAACTCCTTGGCTTTTCAGGGCTCTGTTCTCTCTCATTTTCTTGGTCTGTTTCTGAAGACTGAGAACTAGGGGAGTGAATTTTTCCTTTTCGTTTCTGCTTCTCAGTTTTGTCCTTTTCCACTTTTTCCTTCCTTATCAAGCGTCTCTCTCTCTCCACTCTCTCGGGATCAAAAGTTCGCTCTTTATCTGCCTTTTCATTTTTTGTATAGCGCTCCAGACGAGATTTGTCAAGTTTATCATACCTCGGAGGAGAGAGTGAGCTGCAGCTGCCGCTCCGGTCTGAGGACCGGCTGTAAAGCCTCCTCTCGGAATCACTGGGCAGCCTCTCTGACTGGGAGGGAGACGCTCCAGGACTCTGTGGACGGCGCAAGTGCACCGGACTCTGGCTTCGTTCGATTGGCCTTCTCTCATGGTCTCTGTCCCGGTCAGACTCAAATCTCTCGCGTTCTCTTTCCCGCTCCCTTTGCCTGTAACTGTATTCCCGAATATCTTGTTCATAAGGATCATTCCTGTAATCTCTGTATTCCCGAGGATCATCATAATAGCGTGATTCATAGTAGTCTCCTTGGTAAGTTTCCCATTCTGAATAAAATTCTCTCCCTCGAGCTGGATAGTCCCGCCTGGAATCTTCAGGATATGTGCCTGGAGTCCGGACATTCTCGTAGTATGTACGATCCTGGTTATAGTCGTAGGATCCCCTTCGCTCCTCTCTGCCAAAAAATAAAAGACCTTAGTAGTTCCTTTTGTTTCTTCGTCACTTATGCATTACGTCATGTACGTGAAATTAGAAAGTCCTGTTTCTAAATATTTTTGCCATTACTTCATCATTTGTTAACTGATTAAATTGCAGCGACTGTCCAATACAGTAGCTACCAGCCACACACGGCTACTGAGTGCTTGAAATCTGGCTCGTCCAAATGGAGGTGTGAGTGTAAAATACACACCAGATTTTGTAGACACAGTTTAAAAAAAAATAATAATAATAATTTATTTAGATTGACTATATGTTGAAATAATATTTTAGATATATTAAGTTAAATAAAATTAATTTCATCTTTTCCTTTTTATTGTGGCTACTAGAAAATTTTAAATCACATATGTAACTTGCATTACGTTTTTATTGGCAGTGGTGGCTCAGCCTTTTTTCATGCTTTTGGTGACTCTGGTGTAGTGAAAAAACAGACACCACTAGTTACTGGACAGTATCACACCCCCACATTTCTAAATCCTTCATCATTACTTTTCTACCAAAAAATATTCTTACCACAACTTAGAAAATAAATGCACTGTTTAGAAAAACAGATAAAAATTTTAATTAAAATCTTAGAACCTTTGTGACCTGTATGATATCGTTAACACCTCTATCTCAATTCACAATTAAAACAATATATTTTGGGGGCTGGTTAAGCTCTCTGAGCTCAGTCTCTTCACTCATGAATTGATAGTACCTTTTCCTCATAAGGCTCTTAAGCCTATAAAAACCTTCCTAGCATAATCCTGGGCACACACTTGGCCCTCAGTAAATGCTGTCACTTTCCCCCAGCTGCGAACTTGCAAATCAGGAAGGACCGCAAGCACTGAGAGAGGACTCCTCCACTGCAAAGGAACTCACCACCCCTTGTTTTCTCTCACAAGGACCTGTCTGGTACATTTAAAACATAATTAAATTTATACATAAGAACACATATGTTGTAAAAAATTAAATACACCTGTATTAGAAGCCAATTAACTCCTTCACATGTTCATTCACAGGAATTTTTGTTCTCTCAGGTACGTGTGGCTTATTCATTCTAGACAAGATTGCCATTAGTAGTAGCTCATTAAAACACAACAATACTAGAAAACTTAAGCCGCTTAAAGGCACAGGCTTTGTCTTGTCAGACACAATTTCTCTAGCTCTTACAACAGTGCTTGTTTCATAGTAGGCACTCAAATATTTGTTGGAAGAATGAACTTTAGAAAAATACATCAAAGCTGCTACTAGGTGATGTTCTAACCCTTTTGAACAGCAAATGAAGCATCTAGACTGACTATTCAAACACTGGAAGCATCAAAAACACATTATTGCATGTATTTATACTGAACTTTCTCGGTTCAAAGTCAGTATTTTATATCTATGACATTTGGTTTAATTGAATTCAAGATAATCCTTCTACAGCTCCATAAGAATCACATTCTTCGCCTAAATAGTGACCAGCCATCTCGTAAATAAATGTCCCAGCTACTCGGGAAGCTAATGCAAGAGGATAGCTTCTTGAGCCCAAGAGTCTGAGGCTGCAGTGAGCTATGATCTCACCACTGCACTCTAGCTGGACTGACAGAGTGAGATCCTGTCTCACAAAACAAAAATAAATAAGCATGAATTTTGCTGGGCCTCATGACTACAAAAAGAAATGAGCAGTCCTGCCCTCAAGGAACTCAACAACTTAAGCAGGGACAATATAACTGAGCATTTGGGCCAGAGGGGCTCTGGCAGGGGTGTGCACAGAGGGACACAGAGGAGCTACAAAGAGTCAGGTTGGAAAAAGGACGCTGTTCGCATCACTGCACAACATCCAGACTACCATAAGTAGATGAGAAAGTCACCTAAATCATAATGGGACCCTGTAAATTCATCTTGAGAATTACTCTGGTGAACTGTAAACTCAATGCACTAGTGGGTAGGAACCCTGGGTTTATCCCCAGCCCAACCATTTAGTAGCCTATGACCTTATTAGCAAAAGTCATCTGATCTTCAGTTCCCTCCATAAAACAGGACACAGTGCCCTGCCTGCCAGAGTATTTGAGGGATCAAATGAAATACTACTTTGTAAATGGCAAAGGCTTGTGAAAACAGAATTATTGTTTGTATTCCTAAGCTGAATTATCACTAGAGTTAAAGCATTTTTGTTCGTTCATGCGGCAACTATTCAGTGGGATAACTTCCTCCCACTCTATAGAAAAGGCACAGATCCTCAAGTTCTACTGCCAGGAATGCATTCCACAGGCACTGCTACCTGAAACCCAATGGGGCAAACCTGGGTCCCAGCAAAGGCCCTCCTGCTTCCTACATTAGGAGATAACCACCATTCGACAGAGATAAATTACCCTGGGAAAGAACCAAAGAGCAAAGCCAAAGCCAGATCATCACGAAAATGAATGAATTTTAAGTAGTAATATACAAAAATTAACACCCACACTACATTACCGAACCCTCACAAGACAATGCTTTTTAAAAAATATTTAATGTACACAGAGGATTTTAATGGATTTTTTATCTCTTAGGTACAACTAGGCCTCCAACACACTTTCATTCACTTTTGGATAAGAATTCCCCTAAGCACTTAATGTATTAACAATGACTTCAAACTGCTACTTGGGGAACCAGGACCCAGAACATTTTTTTCCTCTCCCAACAGACACATACATTCTCTTGCACGTGCACACACAGCTTCATGCTCGCTCTCGCTCTTACACTCACATACACACAACTGAGACACAACAGCCTATCAAGACTGACAATCTGTGATCTTTTATGATTTGGATTCTGCTACACTACTGAGAAACCATCGAAACCTTAGAAGTTAAAGCTTTTGGGAATCTGACTGTGGGGGACATTGTTCATTTAAAAAGCTCCAAGTATTCAATGATTACTGTACAATATTCCACTCCAAAATGACTCAAAGTGACATACACTCTCTATGATTTAAGCAAAAATGAACTCATAAAGACAAGCAGTAGGAAGGGAATGCATTCAACAGGATCCTGGCAGCACAATCCGGACTTGGCTCATCCTGGTCAGAGAGCCCTTTTGATACCAGAACTGAAGTGTCTAAAGGCATTTTTCACACAAAGCCTTCTGTCTAACACAGGGTACAGGAGTGGAGATCTACTGGTAACATTCTAGGAGACTTAATCGTAGAGGCGTGTCTGGACAAACAGCTTGACCATAGGGACAATAGTTTCCATTTTCACATGTAATCAGCTACTGAGGAAACTGGTGACATTATGTTAAAATGTTTTAATATATTTGGTCTATTTGGCAGAAAAAATATCAAATACGACATTATCGTGACTGAAAATATTAACAAGGGGAAATCAGTTTTGCCCTTCACATTGTCCAAGTCACCAACTTATGTATACTTTGGCTTATTGATTCACAATGTATTTAAGAGATTCAAATTTAAAATAAAGCTCTTGATGTTCTTTTGGAAGATTTTGTTTTTTAGTTAAATGTTTGAGGACATATGTGGTGACATCCTGGATGTTGTCATTACTAAGGCATTTAACAGTATATAATGTACTCTAACATATGTTATCAAATTTAATTTAAACTGTAAGGTAGAATGATTTATATTTATAATTAATGGTACATAAAGTCTGGCAAAACAGTAACCCTTTCAAATTGTAGGAGCTTTCAGTAAGAAATCTAAAAACTGGCTTCATAAAAATAAACCTGTGTTTTTCATATGAGGTGGTAAGTTTTTTAAGAGATGAGAGTTGGGGTAAGGGCTAAAAAATAAAACTTCATCCCATCTGAAGTTGATGTATTCAAACTCCATCTACACTGAAAGGGTTAGAATACATACCTTCTTTCTATTAACATTTCATAAAAGTCTCTGATATCTTGACCAGATTTCTCCATGCAGTGATAAAATGCCAGCTGGCTTTCACGATTTGCAAAATCCACCTTAAGAAAAAAAAGGACAGCAGGTGTTTATTGCCAAGTCTCAAATTTTAAAGATGGAAAATGTTATCAAATTTGAAAATCCTTCACAACATAGCCCTTCTGGACAAACTTCAGGAAACAACAATCTATCTCAAGTGAAAGAGTCCTCATAACGAAACTATATTGTGTTAACCTGAAATTTCCCAAATTCTAGTAATACGAAAATTCTGATAAAGAAATGTAATTTAATGTTTCAGACCCGACTCTAAAGGAGTGAAAAAGCAAGACAGAAAACTGAAATGGCAATTAAAAATCAAATGAAGTCAGGCATGGTGGCTCATGCCTGTAATCCCAGTGCTTTGGGAGGCTAAGGTGGAAGGATTCAAAACCAGTCAGGACAACATAGCAAGACCCCCACTGTCTACAAAAAAAAATAAAAAGGTTTGCTGAGCATGGTGGTGGCATTCCTATAGTCCCAGCTACTCAAGAGGCTGAGGCGGGAGGATCACTTGAGCCCAGGAATTTGAGGTTATGGTGCACTATGATCAAGCCAAACCAAAAAAAAAAAAATCAGATGGACTAAATCCAGCAATCTCTGATGAGCATAATAAATTTGCTGGAACCACAGTTAGAACATAAAACAAAATACGGAAGAACATTAAAAATTCACTCACAGCTGGGCCTTAAAGTCATTAAAACATGATATCCATCAATCAATAGCTTACTTCCTTTTGAAAATACTTGTTTCAATCTAACCATTATAGACATTAAGTGTATACATTTCTTCAAACTACAAATATCAAATTTTAAAACACATACACCAGACCGAAAAAAAATCATGCTTTCACAGTGGTTACCCACTCTTTAGAAGAGGAAGACAGATCATTTGGAAAGCTGGACTGATACTTTCAGCCCTAGGGTGTGCAGATACCCACAGGTAACAGTGGGTGGGCCTGTTGTGAGAGTGTCCACATGCGCCGTCAGGTACCAAAAGCATTGAGGAGCATACTTCTTTGAGTGACAGGATTTTTTAGGGAAGGATCTGTGGCTAATGGTTTTTTAAAAAGACCCTCTGCCCGTAAGTAGCTGAGCAGAAAAATCATAATATTCCCCTTAAACACTGCAGATATATACTACATGTCCTGTAAACCAATGTCCTTGCTGGCAATCTACAAATGCCAGTTACTGAGAGAATGAGATTTGAATACGATTTGGTTTTGCTTCTGTTTAAAGTCATTCTGCACACCTTAATTTTATTCCCACCGATTTTCCTCCCCTTGGTCTCTTTTACAGCTGCTTGTGCATATTCTATTTCATTGTAGAGAACCAGGGCCATGCCTTTTAAGCGGTCAAACACCACCTGTAAAAAACAAAACAGAAACCAAATAAGAGCCTCATCCACTGGACTTAGTGTCAGTCCCCACAAAATCCTAAGTCACAAGGACACTGCCAAGAAAAAATACAATTTTGTGTACTTTATCCTAGAAAAGATTTCAAGCCTTTTCTGATGATGCACGTTGTAGTGAACACACTAAACTTAAAAAAAAAAAAACCTTGAAAGGGAGAAAAGAAATTTAAAGAATACTGAATCTACAAAGAATGTCAGTAAATTTTGATTGTAAGTAGCACTACTGTCCTAATGCTGGATTTTTTATTTTTAAGATGTATATTTCTCCAAACGACAAAAACTATATTTAAAGAAATGTCCAAGTTATACAACATACCCATCGCAGAGTAAACGTGCTTTTAAGGAGTTAAAGTTTTACATTCACACAATGGAACTGGGTCCAAAAACCCTGTTCCTGTCGTTTGTGGGTGTGCCATAAAATAAACACTAGTTAGATGCATATTCTGTTGTGTGACCGTCCCTTCAAAGTCACCATCTTTTAAAAAAAAAGAAGTCTAATTACCTATTTAGTGTAAATGTAAATAATTATATAACCAGGCTAATTGTAACGTGAGATAAAATTATAAAAGCCCCTAAGAAACATTCTATTTAAGTGTATTATGAGAATTAATTTCAAAATCAATCACCCCACATGGTTCAAAACAAATTTTCAAAATATTCATATCTTAAGGTAATAAATGCAATGCCCTTAACACCAAGAAAAAAGACTCAGAAGTAAAGGTGAAACACACACCAAAACCTCCCACCTACCTTTACTACAGGCCCGTATCGGCAGAAATGTCGTGTTAAATACTGATCTGACACATTTGAAGAAAGCCCATCTAACCATACGCAGTTTGTAGGCATGCTCTTTCCAAAACCCAGCTGAATATAAAAGGAAAAATTTCTATTAGTAAAGTTCACAATTACTATTCAACTACAGAATTCTCAGAAAACTAGTTTTCTTCTGCAGGAATCTTAGCAAATCAACATCTCAAGTGGGAACCATCTGGTTAAAATCAAATGGAAATTTACAAAAAAGCAATCCTGCCTGGCTAATCAAGTATTGATTCAGATTATAGTATAACTGGATGAGGATACAAAGAAGTGTATCACCTTTATGGCTGATACACTTACTGCAATCTTAATCAGACATATGCACCAAAAACGCCAAATCTTGAAAAACAAAGCAAATCACAACAGCACAATAATTTATGCAAATCTGTTTACCTTGAGACGATTATTTCCAAGGTATTCCCCATCCATCTTCTTAATAGCTTTACAAACACTGGCAATATCACAGTATTGCAAGAATGCATACTGAGGAACTCCATTTACTTTCTTAATATCAATGTCCTGAAAAACCCAATCAACACCACTTAGTCATATGCCAACAAGAAAATAAATCGGAATAAACCAAGTCCATACAGATGTGTATTTCTCAAAAAAGCTGTATTTCCAATAATCATTTTCTTAGTTAAAATTATACATCTTAATACAGCTATATATCAGTAGTTTAAATGTTGTATAACATAGCATTTGTAGTCACAAACCATGAAATCCTTCCCATGTGAGCCTCTCTGCAGAGGATGCAACTGTACTACAACCCTAAATTCAAAATTTAAAATCCATTAACATCAGTATTAAGATAGAAATGTATGATAATAAAGAAAAGGTAGCCTATTTAATGAAATCCTAACAAATAATTCTCTTCTGCAATATCTAAAAATCCTTATTAGAAGCCATGCCACTTAAACTGTAATAGTTGAGAAGAGTAAGAATGATAAATCAAGTTTTCAAAAAGTAATTTAAAACATGCAATCTTGAATGAGAAGACCCATTCTATCAGTATATCCAACTGAACCAAGGCTGGTGATTGATAAATATGATGATAATCTCTCATATCCAGAATGAATAGATATATAAATATCTGAAATACTCTGTGAAGACCCACCAGAACAGCATCCCTGGATTAAAGAAACACTTATAAAAGAAACCCCTATCTCTTCTGGAAAGCACAAAACCTGCAGTTGTACCTGACACTCTCATCCTGCCTACTAAAAGGAGGCGGTGAAAAAACTTGGCTTTAATATAAAAATGGTCCAGAGAAACCACAGTTAGATGGCAGAAATCTGTACTGAAAAAAAAAGGACCTGGGGCCGGGCGTGGTGGCTCGTGCCTGTAATCCTAGCACTCTGGGAGGCCAAGGCGGGAGGATCATTTGAGCTCAGGAGTTCGAAACCAGCCTGAGCAAGAGTGAGACCCAATCTCTACCAAAAATAGAAAGAAATTGGCTGGACAACTAAAAATATATAGAAAAAATTAGCTGGGCATGGTGGCGCATGCCTGTAGTCCCAGCTACTCGGGAGGCCGAGGCAGAAGGATCACTTGAGCCCAGGAGTTTGAGGTTGCTGTGAGCTAGGCTGACGCCATGGCACTCTAGCCCGGACAACAGAGTGAGACTCTGTCTCAAAAAAAAAAAATAAAAATAATGACCTGGGCCATGCATTGCAGAATCAAGTATTGTGAGATTATATAACTGTCCTTAAAGGTCACAAGCCAATAATCAAAACTCAAAACAGCAAAATGAGTAATGTATTTAAAGAGCTATTCGATGGGTATTAAAAAAAGCAATGATCTATACTCAAAATTACTCAAAGTAATGCTAAATAGGAGTTGATTTTCACCATTGCATAGAATATAAAAACCCAGGATAACTCCACTTAAGAGAGTATCTCCAAAGAAAACCGGTGGGTGGACTCAGTAACCAGGTTCTTTTGGCTATGGCTTAATCTGTTATCAATAAGCAGCAGAGCATTTTTCCAAAGTGAGTGTGTCATTTAGAACAGTGACACTCATCAGCAATTGCTACCATGATGAGATTGTGATTTTCAACAGAATACTGACATGCCTACATTATTGAGAACTATGGCTCTTAAAACACAATCATTCCATCTTTAGCAATCCTCATGATGAGATGCATCCATGTACCCAAATTATATCTTTCTACATTGCTCCAAAATTTAAAGTAGCAGCCACATTCAAATAAAAGTATGTCTAAAAGTTTTATCAACTCATAGACCCATGAATGCCAAACAGCAAATTAAGTAATAGATAACCGTGTAAAGACAAAAGAAGCTAGGGCCCAGATAGGTTAGTACACACAACACCTGTCTAGGTAGGCAGTAGAACTGAATGGAATTATGGTAGACATTACTCTCACAAAAGAAACTGAAAAATCAAAATAACTGAAAAAGAAAGGAAGATGAATGTTTTGCTGGTATATTTCTCTAAATATATAGCTTTTCTATTTTCTCCTTCTTTTCTACCAACCATTTCTATCTCTTGCCCCCAGCTCCGGTATAATGAGGTTGAGATCAGCCACAAGCACAAATAATATTTTATAAGACTAGATTATGTCATTTAAAAAAACCAAGAATCTTTTGCTTAGAACAATGATATATAAACAAGAATGGATAGATAAATGGACAGATACATGGACACATAACTCACACTCCTGAAAGATTAACT